AAAAAAAAAAAAAATCTCATCTTCCCAAAAATCACTTAAAAGTAATCTCTTTTCAAATATCATCTCCAACATCACCAAGTGAATCCCTTTTTGAGAAGAAAAAAAGTACATGAACATAAACCTAATTTTGTTTTTTTTTATTATGTTAAATAAGTTTTTTTTTTTTTAACACATTTATTATTTTTGTTCCCAAAATTATTGATTTGTTCCCAAGATCCTCAACCGATTCTCGTCGCCTTATCCTCTCTCTCGCGCAGGCTCCGTCGATTTTCCGTCGCCTTCCCCAGTTGGGCGTGGCGAGTGCACGGTGGTGGGTCCCCTGAGCCTCGCAGCCTTTTCCGAGAGTAGTGCCGCATGGGGGAGGGGGAGCTTTTTCGCCGGGGAGACGGTCGTCCCTGTTGTTCCAGCGTCCATCTTTGGTGTCGGACGTGAGGTGCGGGGTGGTCAATCCTCCTCCGGTATTGTCCATTTCGGTGGCCCTCCGGTGCTCTCTTGGAAGGGGCTGCGACCCCAAAATCCGGATTAGGGTTTGGGGTGGAGAAAGGGATCCAGTCAATTGCTTCTTCCCGTCTTGTTTCGGTGGTCGCCGACGTCTTCAGGTATGATTGGGTGGTGTGGATGTCTGCTATTTTTGGGTTGTATGGCTGAGACTCTCTGCTCGAGTCGTGGGGAGTTGGCATCTGCTGGTATATTGCGGAGTGTAGGTGGTGGGGCCGTCGGCGTTTGTTGGGTCGGGGCTGTGGTTTGAGAGTGGTTGCTGGCGGTGTCCTCGGTAACCGCCGGGCTGTGTTCTGTATGATTGGCTGGAGGTCGTTTCCCGGGTGACGGTGGGGTTTGTTCGTCTGGACGAGGGTTGGGCCAACCCGTGGTTCTTCGATTCAGTTAGGCATTCTTGCAGTTTCTGGGTCGGGACTTTGGGCTCGATTCTACCATGGTTGTGCTCGATGTGGCTTATGCTGTGGGAAGGGCTCTTGTTGGTGTGTGTTTTGTCTAGTTTGTTTTGCTTAGTTAGTGTTTGTATTGTGTTGCCTATGTTCTTGTTGTTTTGGTTCTTGTTCCGTGTTTTCGGTTTGGGCCGTTGGCCTCTGTGCGCCTGAGTGTCACTCTGTGTGCCCGAGTGTCACCTTATTACCCTTTTGGGGTCCGGCACTCGGGTATTACCCTTTTGGGGTCCGACGCTCGGGTATTACCCTGTTGGGGTTTTTTTTTGTTTTGTTATTGTTGTTTGTGTTTTGTTTAGTTTAGTCGCGTTGTGTCTTTATTCTAGCGTTGCTAGTCGGGATCTTAGGCGGTCGTCTGACCTGTCCTCCCTTTTTCTTTTTCTGTTTTCAGCTGTTGGCTGCGATGTATTCAGCCGTTGGCTGCTGTATATTCGCACTTTTGTGCCTTTTGATTTATATATCTTTTATCGTTGGAAAAAAAAAAAAAAAAACTCATATTTTTTTTGAGTTAAAAAAATAGATTTTTTGTGCATTAAAAAAAGGAATTGTGTATTGGAGTTCATTACTTTTGTTCTATTGTTACTTGAGCCGTATTTTTTAGAGTTTAGGAGATGAATTAATGGTTTGTTGAAGAATAAACAATTTCTTGAACAAAACCACAATTTGTTAGTCAAGAAACTGGTTTCTTAAGCAAAAAACGGGTTTCTTGAACAAGAAACCAGTTTTTTGTTAAGGAAACTAGTTTCTTGCGCGAAAAAACTGTTTTTTGAAGAAATAACTGTTTCTTGAACAATAAAATGTGTCTTGTATTCATATATATTTTTGTCCAAACACATTTGAAGGTGAAAAAATTGTGAAAAAAGTATTTGTACTAAGTTTTTTTTTATATTTATTTATTTTTTTCAGATGGATGTTGGTAAAGTGGGAATTGTTCATAGTGGCTTTTGGGATGGTAATGCGTACAAAAATGGTGAGCCAGAGATGAATTTTTTCTGTCTTAGGACCTCATCATATGAAGCTTTCATAAATAGAGTTCATGACATTGTTCGTGGGGATAGAACCATGTGCGACTACCGACTTCACTTTTTAGTGGCCGGTGATGATGGAGAGGTGGAGAAATGACTATCACTTGTGAAGCAGATCTGCAAAATGTGTCTTCCATGTTCACAATACCTACTATTTATGTTACACTACAACCGAAAGATAGTCCAGGTCCGTATAATCAGGCAAGTGTACCAACGTACCCTTCGTATGGCTATACCGGGGGACAAGGTGGGTCTATTGAAGAGGACAATTTGAATGAAACAACAAGTCGTTCGAGTAGTGGTTGGAGGATTTCCGAAGCCATTTTTCACAATGTTGATGTTCATCCCTCGTCTGAAGAGCCATCAATGATAGACCGTGAACTAGCCGAAGGCTTTGTCATTGAGCATCCAAGGACGTGGGATTTAACTGTCGCGACTAGTTTGATGGTTGTCAAATCTCCTTCTAATCCCAAGCAAGCCGGAAGACCGAGGTCAAACGGCATACCTTCCACTGGCTCTTCTTCCAGCTCTCGAAATAAATCATTTTGTACACGATGCCGCAAATGGCATTACTCTACAACTTGTTATGCGATTGTCCATAATGTTGAGCAACCAACCCAATCTGGAGGACCCGGTACCAAAATCCGTTTGTGTGGTAAATGTAGACAACCCGGCCACCGTAGGAACAAGTGTCATCAAAACATTACCTAGCTATTTTTTCTGGTTCTATTTCTGGTTTTCTTTGTGGCAAGACATAATTGGGTTGTTATTTGTATGATTGATTTGTGTGTGGTTAATGTCTAACAAGTGAAAAGGGCAATATTGATGTGTGTAGTTGTGTTATGTATGTTGTAGTTATTTTTAAGATGAATGAAAATTAAAGTGAAGTTTGTGAAGTCCTAAGAAATTGAATGAAACAAAAAAAAAAAAAAAAATGGTCGCGACCGAGGGATTTACTTAGCCGCGGCCGCAGCGAGTAAATATTTGGGTCCTAAATATTTTCAACTTTCAACCTAGCAAGGACAATCTTGAGCCGCGGCTGAACTTCCAACCGCGGTTAAGGTACTCTCTCGGCTAACCGTGGTTGGAAAGTCAACCGGCTGTGAATGATATTTTGAACTTTCAACCTGCGACCAGCTCCTCGCCGGCGCCGCCCACGACGACCAAATCTATTGTCAAACTTCCAATCAACGTCGACACAACTTCCCGCAGGCGGCACACCTAGTCGGCTGAGACACACGGCCGCCATAACCGCAACCCTTCTATTCGGCGGCCCACCTAGCGCCACAACGACCAACGCTCCGCCGCTGACGCCGGAGCGTCCCCGCCACCGCCAAAGCCTCCAGATTTACCTTATACGCGTCTTCTCCGAGGCCTTCCACTGCCAACCCCGTCGTCTGCACCGCTCCTTATACTCTGTAAACCCGACTAAAATAGAATCACATTGATTTACTCATATTAGCTGGTAGTCTCACACATATTATGTACCAAAAAAAAAAAGAAAAACCTGATTGTAACTAACAAAGCATCTAACTGGTAGTCTCCAAAATAGCATCAAACTAGATCAACAGAGCATCAACTTTGAAAATAATTGAAACAACAACTTCAACAAGGTATCATCAATAGTTATCTCCTCTAATTTTTACTGGTCTTTATATTATGGCCGCTCTCGTCGTATTTTCCACACTTGTTCCTTTTAGGAGCCTCAAATGCAGACTTGTATCGTTGTTTTCGCCTACTCTCCGATTTCGCTATGCCTATAGGTGGTTGCACCATTCTCTATTTTTTATTGTCCACAACATCAAATGTTTGCAAACCGTTGATAGGATAAACTGCTTCAGCATACGTCTCCAAAAAGTTAGTCGTCTTGTAGTAATCAGAGGAAAATGGCACTGGATCAATATGGAAAGACCGGATGACGCGTATGGCATGTGGACATGGTAGCTCGTCCATTTGAAACCGATTGCAAGTGCATATCTTGGCATCCAAATTTACAATATGTGAATACACGTCGTTATACACCTTATAAACTTGGTCGCTCGCCTTCTGGACCTGTCAGCATATACACAAATTCATTTTCATCCACAAATTCAGTATCATACATATTACTTATTCTATTAAATTATTACAATATAAACATAATATAAACTTACAAACAAACGGGAAACCACTTTGTAATTTTCTTCAAGGATATTGTTTGCTTTTTTGCCAGAATAGTAAACATGCACTTCGCCTAATCTCAATTCGTCACGTTCCATTTTTATTGTATTTATCTCAAAGATTTAAGCAACGTTGCTATAGGTAATTCACGGACCACTTTCGTAGCCGAGTTTATAGTTTCTGTTGTGTTTGACGTCATTGTGAAGTATCTATTTTCTTGGAAGTGGATACGAGCCCATTTGCGGAAACCTACATCTTCAAGATGCGTTGGTACCCTTAGATCCAACTTCTTCAGTTCCACCATATACCTGTTGAACTCTTCCTTTGTATATGCTCTAGAGGCTACAATAAATGCATTCTTAACTGGTGTTGTCTCCATTCTATAGTTCTTCCTCAAATTGTTGGCGAGGTGGTAAGTGCACAAGCAATGCGAAGCTTCTGGATATACCTATAGTAAAATGAACTGTAAAATAATATCATATAATATATATGACATTGTTTGATATATATCATTTTACATTTTATAAAGTACAGAACATAATCATTCAAAAGTCAACACTAATTTTATATTATTTTGTAGGTCATCCATAAAAAGAAGAACTATACTGTTGTTTTCATAATTACCTTTTATGGCGTATTTGATGCTGTCATGAGCATCTGAAACGATGCATAATCCCTCTCTCTCAGGTAGAGCAGAATTCAACTTGCTGAAAAACCAAGAGTATGACTCGTTATTTTCTGAGTCCACGACGCAGAAAGCAAGTGGAGTACGTGCAAATTTGCATCTTGCGTACACATTGTGAGTAAAACCCCTCTGTATGTAGATTTCAGGAATGTTCCATCAACCACAATGATAGGCCTACAATGTGGCCAACCCTTGATCGAAGCATTTAGAGACATGAACATGTACATGAAATGTTTATCTTCAGTAGTACATAGATTCACAATGCTTCCGAGACTCGAGTGACAGAGCTTTTGGAGGTACTCATGAATGTATTCGTATGATTCATCCGGTTTTCCCTGTACCACGTCTAGGTCCTTGCGCTTTGATCTCCATGCCTTTTTGTATGATTAATCGATGCCATATGTCAACATCATATCGTGTATAATTTCTGTAGGGTTGTATTTTGCATTCACGTTTGTGAATTTCCCCTTTATGCATTCACTAACCAGTGATGACATGGCTTGTCGTTGGTTGTTTGTTCTCACCTTAAATGGACAGTTATGATCATTAACCATTTCCCTGATTTTGAACATACTCGACTGTCCAACTCTATTGTCCCAACTCTAGATGATTTAATGAACCAATTGCACTCATCCCATAGACACTTTACGAAGTACTGTTTAGGACACGATTTTTCTATCTTGAATTGGAATTGGTGCTTGATTGCATACAACACAAGCATTTTCTGCAGACTTGTTTTGTTGGGAAAGGAATGTCCAACCGATGGATTGTGCATCACTTCGACCGCATTACCTGATGTTGTATCTACAACTCCATATGTGGTCTGTTGTTGTTCAATATTTGATGTAGTTAACGACATGGCTTCGACAGATTCCCTTGCAAAATCCATATAATTCATAGGATTTGAAGCCCCATAGTGAAATTGATCAAAGTCCAAAGCAGCAACAATGCACTCATTCCCTGCAACTTCGCTGTGATTGGCATTGATGAGGAGTGGGACTGGAACCAAAGCATTTTTTTGTTCCTGAATCACACATACTGGAAACTTAGTGTAATCAGCCTCCCTTGACTTCATTTCCATGTAGAATCCAAGGCTTTGATCCTCATCAATTTTAATTGTTGGATATCCATCTCGTACCTGATACTTAAAACTCAACCTTGTTTCCATGTGGTTTATCTTCAGTAGATCTGCAACTTGCTTGCTGGAATCTCTGAAACAAAAATTCTGAATTACCATTATTCCCCAACTTCGAAAGTAATGTAAGTGTTGTTACAACACTCTCTATTGTAGTGCAAAAACATCATAATTGTCGGCATTTGGCTGCAAATTAACACACAAAAACCTCACTTAATACTACAAAAAATCGTAAAAAAAAAAAAACATCCAATCTGCCATGGTTGCAAATTGTGCATTCTGTTCAATGAAAATAGCATTGACTCCCTTAATCAGACGAAAAATAATCGAAATATACCTTTAATCTCCCAGATCGTGCTGACGTGAGATTTGAATGAACGTGTTCCCGAGCTCGAGATTCAGAAAATTCTCTCTCGACACGATTTCCACATTTTCTGCTTTGGATTCTTTCAACCGTTTCTTTTTTAGTAGCATCTCTTTTATTTCCATAATGCGCAAGCTGATTTGGGGAAGAACCAACTAAGATTGCACATCGATTTTCCATTCTTTTTGTTGTATCATAATTTTGGGTTTTAATTCTTTATGCGGCGACAAATCCGAGTTTAAAAGTTTAATCTCGTGTCATTGACATTGCTATGGGATTAACACGTGGATGTGTATTTTCGCCTTTCTTTTTTTCATTCTCTGTCTTCCGCATAAATCAGTCGAGTTATCTTGAGAGTCATCTCCAAGTTCACGCTAATCACAAAAATTCCCAACCCCCAATTGCGATTTTTCAAGCTTTCTCACGCATTTTATTGTCAGTTCGCGATTCATCGCGATATGGAGAAGATTATGACACGCATAAATCGAGAAATGGTCGTGATTCATGACGATTTTTCCCTAACTCAAGTCGGGCAAGTCGAGATTTGCTATTTCTCGTGATTTTTCCTCCTGATTTTTTGAGTCCAAATTCTGTGCGCCTATATTCTCGCGATTGACTTTTTTGGTGGCGCTTTTTTTGCCGCTTCCCAAGTTCTCTGCCGCTCGATTTCCTTCGAGACTTCGAGATTCATCAATCAGGTAGAAGTTTCTTTCCTCAATTTATGGTGTTGAGCCGCGATCTGACTCAGTCACGGTATGTCCTTTAAAATTTTCCCTTATTCACGCGCGCAATCTTTCTTCTCAGCAATCGCGATTTTTCTCTAATCCTCGTCGCGTGAGTCGAATTTTACCATTGCTTCGCCGTTTTCCCCCAATTCGCGATATATTGGCTGCGATTAGCAATGTCGGTCGGGGCTCCTGCTAGATTCGCGATGTACTGGTCGCGGTCCGTTAGCCGCGAGTATCAACTACGACATGCGTTCTCTACTACTTCGCCATTAGTCACGACTAGTTGTTACCCGTTCATTTGCACGGAAAACTGTATGATAAAAAATAAAATAATAAAAAATATAAACAATAGTATAAATTATAACATAATCATTGAAAAAAAAAAGTTTTAAGAAAGAAAATTCAAATATAATTAAACACTTCTTTATATACAACGTCCATAATTTTTCGAAGCCCAATCTGATTTCTTGATGTATCCCAATAAAAAAATTTAGTAAGAGAATATTTTAAAGGGTAAATTTTTTTTAACCTCCCAAAGTATGCGATTTTTTTGACTTTGCCATTGTTGACATCCGGATCGGACCGAACAGGACACGACGGGCCAACCCCATGGATTGCGCAGGACCCGACCCGGAGATCAGGGCCGAACCGATCATGGGCTCAGGGCCGACCTGAGTCGGGGGATTACGTATCGACCGGGTAGCAAAGGATGTTCCCCGAGCTCGGCCCTTGATTTAAATGGAGCCGAACCGGTCTCGTTTTGGGACCGAACTGGTGAAAGGGCCTGTCCGGACCGTGCGGTCCATCGAGAACGAAGGTGCCGAGCTGGATTAGTCAGAGCCGTCCCGACGAGGCGTAGGACCGATCCAGCCGTTATTAGAATAATTGCCACTTGGGAAGTCATCATTCGCTGACAAGACGACCTGTCCCATCTGTCTAATCAAGATTAAATGCTGCCCATACCCGCATTAAATGCTTAGCAGGCAATGATTGGGAAAATCTCAAATCGCATTAATGGAGTGTCAGGGAGGCGCCGAACTGCTCTGAAGGTTCACTGTACGACAAGACCGGTGAACAGTACCCATTTAAGGGTGCTATAAATAGCAGCTCACCTCATTTATTTTGGGTTGTTGAATCCTCAACTAACATAAGTTTTCTCTCACTTTCTCTCTCTAAAGATTGTAAGGATTGTAAGAATACCATAAGTGCTGACCTCGTACGAGAGGCCGACCTCGTGATCATTTAATAAAATTCGTAATTAAACCCTATCTTTCCTTTATTTTCAGTTCTGTGCTCTTAATATTTTTAATCTCAACCGTTGACCGAAAACACTCGTCAACAGTTTGGCGCTAGAAGGAGGGCACCATAAGTTACTTGGTGTCAACATTTTCGACCTTGTATCAAACACGATATCACGCTTTCTTCCACCCCCGATCCAGATATGACTTCATCCACTCAAGACGAGTCAACACAACAGTCCGGAGCCCAGTCGCGCCGACGTGACGGCGAAGGACCCTCCCGCCGTGCTCAAGGGGGGACTCAAGCCCCTGCTCCCCCAGTCCCGACCTTCGCGGAGGCCATGCAACACCCCGACGTCCTCAAAGCCCTCGAGGGGGTCTTCGCGAGGGCCCTCGCTGCTCAGGCGGTCGGGGGCAACACCGTGGCTGCCACGGGAGCCCCTGGCAACACGCTGCTCCAAACCCCTGCCAAGGAGACGGACGGGCAAAAAAAGAAAAAACCCACTAAGTCCAAGACGACGGCCCAGTCCCCCAACCGCACCGCCTTAGAACGACGCGAGAAGGGAGCCTGCCCGACGCCTTCCGAACAAACCGGTGAAAGCCAGCCTGAGCGTAGCCTGCAAGTTATTCGCCGCTCCGTCTATCAACGCCTTGGCGAAAAGAGCAAGGCCAATCGGGACCTCAGGGAGGTCATTGAGCGAGGGAAAACTATCGGGCGCGAAGCGGACGAGGTCGCGGCCCTTAAGCGAAGAATTGCCGAGCTGGAGGGCCGGCACCACACGCAGAGAGAACCCTCTCCTCCGTTCCAATCACCCCCTACCTTTTCACGACCTTCACCCCGGGTCGTGGACCACGCCTCGCCACTCTCGCCCGACATACTACAAGAATCCGTCCCCAAGAAGATTAAAGTTCCCCAGCTCGGACTCTATGATGGGAGCTCGGACCCGGACTCCCACATTGGCCTCTACACCTCATGGATGGACCTGCATGGCGCCACCAACGCTTTGCGTTGCCGCATGTTCTCATTAACACTGGGACCCAAGGCACAGAGGTGGTATCACTCCCTATACCCCCACTCCATCTCCACTTGGGGGCAACTCAGGGCAGCGTTCAGATCACACTTCATCGGATCGCAGATCAACCTCGCCCCCAAGGAGTCAATCGCCAACATCGTCCAAGGCGAGGATGAAAGCTTGAAGGATTACATTGCCAGGTTCAACGATCGAGTCCAAAACATGGAACAATGCCATCCAGAGGCGTTATTGATCTCGGCCCAGGCCGGCCTGAAGCCGAAAACTTTGTTCAAGTGGTCCCTTTGCCAGAACAAGCCGACCACCTACCAAGAATTCCTTGTCCGCGCCCAAAACTACATAATGGCCGAGGAGTCCTCATCCATCCCGGTGCTCGACATTGCGCCGAACAAGGGAAAAGCGAAAGACGAAAAGTCGGGAAAATCGAGCAAGTCGTTCGCAGAAATCCGGGCCCTGAGGAGGCAGAAGGCGGAGGAGCTCAAGGAGAACTACCAGGGCGTCTTTTCCGTTGGTGCCGCCGCCGTGTATGAAGAGATTAAGACCAAAGGGTTGTTGCCGGACCCAAAGCCGATATTTACCGACAAGGACAAAGTGGACAAGTCTCGCTACTGTACCTACCACAAGGCACATGGCCACAACACCGACCAATGTCGGAATCTGATCTCGGCGTTGCTCAAACTGATCGAGGATCCAAATGTTAAGAGGTTCACGCACTCGGGAGACAAAAGGAAAAAGGGAGGCCGCTTCGAGGACGGCCTCGACAGCGAGGATGACGCCGATGTGAACCCGCGAAGGAAGAAGCCACAGCAGGGCGGCCCCAACGAGATCCTAACATTCTATCCGGCGCACCAGAGCGAGGCCGGCACCTCGAGGGGCCAAAAGCGAGATCGGCCCCCTCCATCGGAGGCCGGCCGGGCCTACACCCCGCCCCGGCGCGTGAACACCAGCCGGGCCAAGTCACTCTCGTCAAAAAGACAGGCCAAGGCTTATGCCCGACGAGCCTATCACGCCGGACAAAGATTGATGCATGCCGGGAGCAGGCCGGCACCTGAACCAACCCCTAACAAGATCTCCTTCACCGACGAAGATGCTTTCCTCTTTGACCACCCCCACTCCGACGCATTGGTTATCACCGCGCCCATCATGGCGATCAAGATCCATCGCATCATGGTTGATACTGGGGCCTACGCAAGCATACTCTATTACGACACTTTCAAGAAGATGGGAATAGATTAAAAGGATGTCCAACCATGCCGAGAACGGATTCAGGGCTTCAACGGACACATGACCACCCCGGTCGGCCAAGTCACACTGCCGATCCGGTTCGGAGAAAAGGGACAACCGACGAGGACCATCCTCGAGACTTTCAAAATAATTGACTGCCAGAGCGAGTACAACGCCATCATAGGCAGGACGGCGCTTTACAAATTGAGAGGAGCCGTCTCCATCTTTCACTATTCCATCAAATTCCCAACCTCGGACGGGGAAGGGACACATCGGGGAGACCAGAGGGAAGCTCGAGAGTGCGTCCTGACCATCCCCCGATTGGAGATAAACGCCGCCGACCCTGTCGCGGACGCCGAGATGACGGATCAGGGACTTTCCCAAGACGTCCCTGACGAAAGAACCGAGCCGGCACCTCTCGAGTTTGAAATAAATGCCGGGCTGGTCAGTGGAAGCGCCGAGGCCGACCTGGGGGACGACCGCATGCTGAGCGATCAGACAGGTCCCCTCCCTCAGGTCGAGGACGGTACCGACCAGGCAGAAGAAGGATCCGGCGCCGACCTGGACCGAGACAGGGGCCGGAGACCAGGGGGAGCCGATCACGGAGGAAGATGAACTCGACCCCCGCACTCAATACGAGGAAAAGAGGGGAACCAAAAGAGCCGAGCCGATGGACGAAGTCGAGATCATCTTCGTTGATGAAGGAACTTGTCAGAAACAGCTCCAAATCGGAAGCCGTTTACCGGAACCACTAAAGACCGAGCTAATCAAATTCCTCAGGGAAAACGCGGACGTCTTCGCATGGACCCACGAAGACATGGTCGGCATCGACCCAAAAGTTGCTTGCCACAGACTTCAGGTCGACCCCACGGTCAAACCCGTGGTGCAAAAGCGGAGGAAGCTTGGCCCGGATCGCCAACAAGCCCTCGAGGAGGAAGTGGTAAAGCTGAAGGACAACGAGTATATCCGGGAGGTCCGGTACCCGACCTGGGTCGCCAACCCGGTCCTCGTCAAAAAGAGCAACGGGGCGTGGCGCTTGTGCATAGAATTTTCCGATCTAAACAAGGCATGTCCCAAAGATAGCTATCCCTTGCCCCACATCGACTACATGGTGGACGCCACCTCGGGACACGAGTTGATGAGCTTTATGGATGCGTACTCAGGATACAATCAAATACCCATGCACCCCGACGACGAAGAACACACATCCTTCTACTCGGCTCGCGGACTTTACTGTTACACCATGATGCCGTTTGGGCTGAAAAACGCCGGGGCGACCTACCAACGCCTCGTTAACAAAATGTTTGCTAGTTTGATAGGTGTAAGCATGGAGGTGTACGTAGACGATATGTTAGTAAAATCCGTGTACGCGTCTGACCATGTCAACGATCTCAATAAAATGTTTTCTATTTTGCGTGATTATTCGATGAAGCTAAACCCAAAAAAATGTACGTTCGGGGTCGGATCCGGGAAATTCTTGGGTTACATCGTCAGCCAACGCGGCATCGACGCAAACCCCGAAAAGATCCGGGCGATACAAGACCTCCGACCGCCCACCTCGATCAAAGGAGTTCAAAGCCTGACCGGCAAACTCGCCGCCCTTAGCCGGTTCATCTCTAAGTCGACGGATCGGTGCAAACCCTTCTTCGACGCAATCAAGAAAAACCACAAGTTTGAGTGGACCCCCGACTGCCAAAGGGCACTGGAAGCCATCAAAGAAACCCTCGGCCGGGCCCCGACAATGCAAAAGCCCCGCCCGGGAGAGACACTCTATCTCTACTTAGGAGTATCCGAAGTAGCCGTAAGCGCCGCCCTGGTCCGGGAGGAGGACTCCGGTCAGCACCCGATTTACTACGTGAGCAAGGCACTTCACGATGCCGAGCTGCGTTACTCACCCATGGAAAAGCTCGCTTTCGCACTGGTGACCGCCGCCCGAAAGCTGAGACCGTATTTCTTGGAATTTTCAATCGCTGTCCTCACCTCCTACCCCATTAGACAAATCCTGCACCGACCAGATACATCCGGCCGGATGGTGAAGTGGGCGGTGGAGTTGGGGCAGTATGATATCCACTACCGACCCCGAACAGCAATGAAGGGGCAGGTACTCTCGGATTTCATAGCGGAATTCACACCGAGAATCGAAGAAGCAAAAACGGAGGAGCCATGGGTGATGTACGTGGACGGGTCCTCCACCGCCAGACGAGCGGGCGGGGGAGTCGTCCTCGTGGATCCCCAGAAGAAACTCTTCTGTCACTCAATTCAATACCTTTTCCCAGCTACTAACAACGAAGCCGAGTACGAGTCACTGCTGTCCGGGCTCGACCTGGCAGAGGCCATGAGCTTAACCGACCTCATAATATACTCCGACTCTATGTTGATGGTCAAGCAAATATCGGGAGAGTATGAAGTCAAAGAACCCAGGCTAGCCCCCTACCTGGGGTTAGTAAGGAGAAAACTGGCCCGGCTCCAGACCCGAATTGAACACATCCCCCGGACGGAGAACGTGCATGCCGACGCCTTGGCCCGCCTCGCCTCAAGCGCCGGGGTGGAAAGCGTCGAGTACGTTCAAGTAGCCCACAAGGAACAACCCTCTGTGACCGGCACCCCGGTGTTGAGTACCGAGCAGGTTAGGGGAGATCAGGACCCGAGCTGGATGGTCCCGATCCGATTGTATCTTGAGACCGGTTCGTTGCCGTCTGACCCAAAAGAGGCCAGACAGCTCCGTACCCGGGCAGCTCGGTTTACGATCGTGGCCGGTGAGCTGTTCAAGCGAGGTTATTCAGCACCCCTGCTCAAATGTATAGACGAAAGGAGCGCCGAGACCGTACTCAGGGAAATTCACGAAGGCGTATGCGGGAACCACTCCGGAGGGTACGCCCTCGCTCATAAGGTCCTCAGACAGGGTTATTACTGGCCGAGTCTGAAAAAAGACGCCTTGGATCTGGCGCGGAGATGCGCGAAGTGCCAAACCTTCGCGCCCAACATAGTTCAACCATCTCAACCCCTGAAATCAATTTTCAGCCCATGGCCATTCGCCAAGTGGGGAGTCGACCTAATCGGTCCCCTACCCACCGGGAAAGGCGGAGTAAAATATGCCGTGGTCGCCGTTGACTATTTCACGAAATGGGCAGAGGCCGAACCGCTCGCCACTATAACTGAGCAGAAGATGATAGATTTCTTATGGAAGTCCATCATATGCAGATTCGGGGTTCCGAATTCAATAATCACTGACAACGGCAAACAATTTGAAGGAAAAAAGCTAGAAACATTTTGTGAGGAGCATAACATTAAACACTTCTTCTCAACTCCTTATCATCCACAATCGAACGGTCAAGTCGAGGCCGTTAACAAGATCATCAAGCAGGGCCTCAAGGTCCGACTTGAAGCCGCAAAGGGAAGTTGGCCCGAAGAGCTCCCGAGTGTACTCTGGGCTTACCGCACAACCGCCAGGTCGTCAACCGGCGAAACACCCTTCTCCTTAGCATACGGATCCGAGGCGATGATACCTGTTGAGCTCGGCGCTCCAACATTTCGGGTGGTTAACTTCGAGGAAAAGTCCAATTCCGAATCGTTAAGAGCCAACCTGGACTTAATTGACGAACACCGAATGGGCGCCGAACTCAAGAACGCAGCATACAAAAAACGGAGCGAAAGGTACATTAACTCACGAGTCAAGCCTCGCTCATATCAGGTCGGCGACCTGGTACTTAAAAGGGTGACGGGGCCCGACCCGGGGCCTCTCAAGCCGAAGTGGGAGGGCCCGTACCAGATCAGTGAAGTCCTCCCACATGGGGCCTATCGCCTCGAGCACCTCGACGGCACACCCCACCAATACCCATGGAACGCAGCATTCCTAAAAAAGTTCTACCAGTAGGTTTAGGGCGGTCTTTTGTAATTACTTTACTGTTTTTCGTAAGAAGTGTAATTCCTTTTGCGCATTTAGTCGCGATAAGGCAAAAATTTTTAACATAGATCGAGTCGAAGCGGCGTAATGAAACGTAAGGAACAAAGTGTCTGCCAAGACCAGTGCGATGGCTTGGTCGGCACTACCCGGGCTCAACTAGGAAGCCCGGACAGGCCTATAGTACCGCCGAGTCCGAATATAAGACCGGTCGGGAAAGCTGCCATATAATGATGTGTTGGTTGGGTCAGTACGATGGCCTGGCTGGCACGAACCGGGTTCGGCAAAGTAACCCGATAAGGCCAAAGCTGCCAACTGTAAGGAATGAAAAAATTAGCTTAAGCGTGCGTCTCAACTCGGCCCCGAGAGGAAAATGGCCAGGCTCGATCACGAGACGCGGCCAAGTGATGAAACAGAGCCGGGCTCGATTACGAGTTCGGCTCCGCAACCAATATGGCCAGGCTCGACCACGAGCCTCGGCCAAGTAATGAATCTGCGCCGGGCTCGACCACGAGCTCGGCCCCGTGATTAGCAAGGTTGGGTCTGATCGCGAGCCCGGCACCCCAAACGAACTTGGGAGAATTCAATAACAAAAGTAAAGGCTAAAAATCATTAAAGTAAGAAAATTCATTCCAGAAGCCAAAACGGCAATAATCGAGTACTTAAGGCCACACACGGCCCAAAACAAGTAAAAAACACGCAACGGTTCGAACGAAAACAAAGATAATAACTTAGTAAAGATACGCAAATCAGACAGACAAAGATCAAACAAGTTCTTAGAAAGGCCACACACGGCCCAAAATAAGTGCATAGGTCAACAAATCGACCTCACAGACCGGCTTCAGGATCCGGAACAATGTTGGTAGCCGCCTCGACGGTATCCTTCTCAGCAGACGCAGGGTCGGACTCCAGATCAATAACCGGAAGATCCTCGACCGGAATGTCAGCCACGTCCTTCTCTCCGTCCTTCACTCCTGAGGGGCCGGCCCCATCATCATCTGCCAACTTCGGGTCCAAAAGGGTAAAACCATCCTCATCGTCGCCCAAGATAGGGAAGGATTCGTAGCTCCTCAACCTCTCCCCGTCGGACAGGCGCCGGTCGCTCGGGTTTGGACCAAAATCTTGAAGACCGACAATAAGGCCCTCCGCCCAGCCTTGGCGGTGACGCACCAGCTCCGCCTCCTCTTCGTCAACCTCGCAGATCATCCCTTCGAACTCGGCCTCAAGGCCGTGCTTGGCAATCTTCGCGTTCATGATCGCCCTAAAATCATCCAAGGAGAGGAGCCCATGATCAAGACGTTGGAAGAGCCAGAAGAGGTTGTAAGCGACCCCGGAATCCATGTCGGCCATCATCTCCTTCTGGAAGAGGTTCTGAACTTCCGGGTAGGTCAGCTGCGGATGTAGAGCGGCCACATTAGCCTTAGCCCACTCCATCGCCTCCTCTCTGTGGGCATCCATCTGATCGCCTAAGGTACGGACCCGGGCCCGAAGAGCCTCCATATCCTGATTGAAGGCCTTGTCCTGCAGGGCCATTTCAAGAGCATGCTTCTTCTCCATAGACTCCTTCTCAAAAAGCCAGTCGGACCTCCCCCTTTCTAACTTCTCCTCGGCCGCTCTCTTAGCCTCCACCAGCTCGGCCTCCCTCTCCTTAGCTTTCAGGGCCTCCCCACGAAGAACAATGAGCTCCTGCTCGAGCGGCCCGAACTCTTTGACCCGGTCTTTTAAGGATCGGACCCGGGTCTGGCTCAAGATCAGGTCGGCATCGGCCTTGCGCTTCGCCGCTTCGAGCTCTCGCGTCTGGGCCGCAGCATGGACAAGCTCAACCATCGCGCGGGCCATAGACGCAGCCGAGTGTTGGATAATCTGAGTAGTGGACATCTGATGGGTCGCCGCCTCCGCAGACGGGGTCCACGTGATCATGGGGAGACGAGCTGCCTGCATGGCAGCCTCGGGGAGACCATGCTCATTGACAATCGGCGGAACGGCGGCAGCCTTGGCATCGATGAACCAGAGGTCGGGGAAGCCGGGGAGTTCCTTGAAAAAATGATCTCGAATTTCGGGGTCAACGGGCAGATATATCGACGGGGCAGGGGTGCCGCTGGAAGTTGTTGCATCCGGCACGAAAGACGAACCTCCCTCATCCACCTTCTTCTTCTTCCTATCC